TGGATATAGTTCCCTGTGCTATACAGTAGGACCTTGTGATTTATCCACTCTATATATAATTTTTTGCATCTGATAATCCCGCACTCACACTCCTTCCTTCCCCCATCCCCCCTCTCCCTTGGCAGTTACAAGTCTGTTCTCTATGTCTGGTAGTCTTTTTCTCTTTCGTAGATAGGTTCAGTTGTGTCATATTTTATTTTATTTTATTTTATTTTATTTTTATTTTTTATTTTTTTGCCGTATGTGGGGCTCTCACTGTTGTGGTCTCTCCCGTTGCGGAGCACAGGCTCCGGACGCGCAGGCTCAGTGGCCATGGCTCACGGACCAAGCCACTCTGCGGCATGTGGGATCTTCCCGGACCGGGGCATGAACCCGTGTCCCCTGCATCGGCAGGCGGACTCTCAACCACTGCACCACCAGGGAAGCCCAGTTGTGTCATATTTTAGATTCCACATATAAGTGATAGCATATGGTATTTGCATTTCTCTTTCTGATTTACTTAGTATGATAATCTCTGGGTCCATCCATGTTGCTGCAAATGGCATTATTTCATTCTTTTTTATGGCTGAGTAGTATTCCATTGTATATACATGCCACATCTTCTTTATCCATTCATCTGTTGATGGACATTTAGGTTGTTTCCATGTCTTGACTATTGTGAATAATGCTTCTGTGAACATAGGGGTGCATGTATCTTTTTTTTTTTTTTTTTGTGGTACGCGGGCCTCTCACTGTTGTGGCCTCTCTTGTTGCAGAGCACAGGCTCCGGAGGTGCAAGCTCAGTGGCCATGGCTCACAGGCCTAGCTGCTCCTCAGCATGTGGGATCTTCCTGGACCGGGGCACGAACCTGTGTCCCCTGCATTGGCAGGCGGACTCTCAACCACTGTGCCACCAGGGAAGCCCAGGGGTGCGTGTATCTTTTTGAACTATAGTTTTGTCCGGATATATGCCCCAGGAGTGGGATTGCAGGATCATATAGTAGTTCTATATTTAGTTTTTTGAGGAACCACTATACTGTTTTCCATTGTGGCTGCACCAACTTACATTCCCACCAACAGTGTAGGAGGGTTCCCTTTTCTCTACACCCTTTCCAGCATTTATTATTTGTAGACATTTTAATGATGGTCATTCTGACTGGTGTGAGGTGGTACCTCATCGTAGTTTTGATTTGTATTTCTCTCATAACTAAGGATGTTGTGCATCTTTTCATTTGTCTATTGGCCATGTGTATTGGGTTGGCCAAGAATTCCTTTGGATTTTAAGTAAAAATAAAGGACATTTTTCATGTTCAAGAACTTTATTGAACAGTGTATTCACCCTTTTGTTCCACTACCTTCTGCCATTTTTCAGGCAACTTCATAATTCCACCTTCTCAAAACTTTTTATCTTTTTGAGCAAAGAACTGTTCCAGGTGCCTTTTACAGTCTTCAGGGAACTGAATTTTTTTCCATTAATAGAATTTTGTAAAGACTGAAATAAATGGAAATCCAAAGATTCAACGTCTGTTGAATATGGCGGATGAATCAGAACTTCCCAGCCAGGCTATAACAGTTTCTGCCTGGTCATCAAAGAAACATGTGGTCTTGTGTTATCGTGATGGAAGATTATGTATTTTCTGTTGACTAATTCCGTACGCCTTCGTCGAGTGCTGCTTTCAGTTGGTCTAATTGGGAACAGTACTTGTTGGAAATAATCATTTGGTTTTCTGAAAAGTGCTCATAATAGAGAACTGCCTTCCAATCCCACCATATACACGTAACCTTCTTTGGTCAAAGACCGGGCTTTGGTGTGGTTGGTGGTGGTTCATTTTGCTCGCCCCATGATCTCTTCCATTCCACATTATTATACAGTATCCACTTTTCATTGACCATCACAATTTGTTTTAAAAACAAAATGTTTTCATTACATTTCAGTAGAGAATCATGTGAGGAAGTATGGTCAAGAAGGTTTTTTTCACTCAACTTATGTGGAACCCAAACATCAAAGCGATTAACATAACCAAGCTGGTGCAAATGATTTTCAGCACTTGATTTGGATATTTCGAGTATGTCAGCTATCTCCTGCATGGTATAATGTTGATTGTTCTCGATATCTCAGTTTGATCGCTATCACGTTTAAGTGTTCTACCTGATCATGGAACATCATCCGGCGAGAAATCTCCAGCACGAAACTTTGCAAACCACTTTTGACACATTTGATCAGTCACAGCACTTTCTCCATACACTGCACACATCTTTCCTTTCTGTGTTTCATTTGCGTTTTTACCTTTCTTGAAATAATAAAGCATAATATGCCGAAAATGTTGCTTTTTTCTTCCATCTTCAATATTAAAATGGCTGCAAAACAATTCACCAATTTTGATGTTTTTTTCTTTAAATGCACTCTGATACGACAGCTCTCATTATACAATCTAACAAAATTGTTTCGAATGAAGTTAAAGACAACTAAGCACAATAAGAGCCATCTTACGGAAAATACCGAACGAATTTTTTGGCCAGCCCAATTTTTTTTTTCCCCCCTTTGGAGAAATGTCTATTTAGGTCTTTTGCCCATTCCTATTGATCACTTATTTAGTTTCTTTGTGAGAATATGACTCCATCCCTGAAACATGACCTCCTTTTCATTTCACCCAAAAATATGCCTTTTTGACATATTTATTTTGAACTAAAGAAAATTAAGAAGCAGTTAATGCAAGAAAGGCACTGTGTTCTCCTCCTATTTGCCTAAGAGCAGGACATAAATTTACAAAGGACAAAAATTAATCACGAGAGGCAACTTTAGACCCTTATTAGCCTGGAGACAACACAAGAGGATTTACATAACAAACTTTGCTAACTAGTGGCAAAAAACAAAATTCATCTGATTAAATTTGAAGATCTAATTGGCTCTATTGAATGATTCATGTATCAGGGACCATCCCATCTAGCGATTAGAAAGGAGTTCCAAAGGGCTACAGAAAGGGAAAGGTTTTTAAGGGCAGAGAGGGGGGTGAGACAAGGAGGTCATAAAGAACGAATTTGTGAATATTGATAAAGGGAAACCTCACTAATATGTGGTCAAGAGGCCAGAAGGGGAGCTCTCAGGAAGTACCACTGAACATCAACTACAGGAAGAATTGTCAATTATAAACTCCAACAGAAGAATCATCAACAGGAAAGAATCATCAGTTACATGCCCCAACAGAAAAAGATGTACATCGCATCTCCTACAAGAAACCTAGTACCCCAGCAACTCCACCAATGAGAAACACTCATTACCCTAAACTCTCGCTTTTCTCCAATAGACTTTCTTTCAAAATAATGCCTCCTGACTTCCTCCCTTTTTCTGTAAAATAACATCCCTCTCCTTTGTTGGACTTGCCTATGGTTTTTGCCATTGCTTACTTGTTCTGATTTATAATTCTCTGCTATTTCTGAATAAACCCATTTCTGCTGGTAAAATAACTGTTTTATTTTATTATTTTTTTAAAAAATTAATTAATTTATTTTTGGCTGCGTTGGGTCTTTGTTGCTGTGTGCTGGTTTTCTCTAGTTGCGGTGAGCAGGGGCTACTCTTCACTGTGGTGCACGGACTTCTCATTGTGGTGGCTTCTCTTGTTGCAGAGCACGGGCTCTAGGTGCCTGGGCTTCAGTAGCTGTGGCACGTTGGCTCAGTAGTTGTGGCTCACGGGCTCTAGAGAGCAGGCTCAGTAGTTGTGGTGCACGGGCTTAGTTGCTCCGTGGCATGTGGGGTCTTCCCAGAGCAAGGCTTGAACCCGTGTACCCTGCACTGGCAGACAGATCCTTAACCACTGCATCATGAGGGAAGCCCCTAACTATTTTATTTTTATGGTCAACAGATTATTTCACGAAGGGCACTCTCCTTTGGGAGATAAAAAGCGTCTAGCCGGCAGATTACCTCACTAGTGCTGGCCAGGAAATTCAGACTGACTGGTTAAGATTACATTCTTAGGAGAAGCTAAAACTGCAGTTAGGTTCGATATTAAGTCTTGCTATGCTGACATGCGTTTAGCACAAGTGACTCCATTTGGGGCCAGTTGTCTCTTTTTTTTAACATTAGCTCTTACCCAACTTTACTTTCCCACATTATTTGGCATCCCTAGCGACTCAAGTACTTTTTCCTTTCTTTGTTACACCTCAAATGTATTGTTCTTTGTCGAAGGTATTATATAAGATTGAATTCTAAGCCACTTCTTTTTCTTTTTTTAATGTCCTAAATTATTTATTAGGTAAGAATTTTACAAACATTACTTATATTAGCGGTAACAGTGGAGCCGGAGAGTAACTGCACCTTCTCCAAACTTGCGGCCCTTTCTAAGGCCGCGGTTCTTTCTGCCTGCAGATGTCAGCCCTCACATCTCCCTGTGTCTAACTCAATTCTTTGAGTTACTCAACCCTGTCTCTCTCATGTATGTATAAACATGTCAATAAAATCCTGTTTGTTTTTCTCTTGTTATTGCCTTTTGTTACAGAGCTTGAGCTGAAAAGGTAAAAACTGGGTAGAGGAAAGTTTCCCCACCTACATCTCTAAATACTTTACAGTGCTGAAGAACTGCAGACAACACTCCCCTGCAGTCCGCCTTCGGCCCCTTTAAGAGGAAAGGAAGCCCCTCTCTTCGCTCTTGAAGCCTGGACGCCTTTTCCCAGCGTCCCTCAAAGTGCCTAGGGCTTTTGCTCCGCGGGAGCGGATGAGGAGTGCCCCTTCCCGCAGGCCTGTGGAGTTATGGGAACTACATTGCCCAGAACACACTGCACCAGAAGAAGAGCAGTGTTGCTCCAATGAAAGACCAGGACAGGGGCATTTCCGGTCTTAGGAAGCGTGTCAGGGCTGGACTTCCGGCTACTTCCTGGTTGAGGCCACTTTTGTTTCCCTCGGACTTGTTTACCGTGTCAGAGGCTGTAGATCTCTGAGTAGAGGTAGGGACTGCTGCTCCCGGCCCCGCTCTGCCCACAGAGTCCGATGGCGGCAGCGGCGCTGAGGGACCCGCCTCAGGTAAACGCTCGTCCTGCGGGCCCTCACCGCCCTCCCCCCACCAGACACGGAAGACCCGAGTGCGGGGCGCCTGCTCACGTGCCCGCAGCCCAGGCCGCGGTGTCCAGGAAGATGGGGTTCCTATTTCTCACAGGAGTGTGATGGCGCGTGGGAGAGGGTTACAGGCGGAGGTACCGGCATGTGTAAAGGCTTTGAGGTAAGACTGAGCCGGGAGGCTTCTGAAAACTTGGGGTCCAGCCTTTGTTTTTAGGGGACAATGAGTGTGAGGGGGAGTCACGCCTGGATTGGCAAACAGAGGGACCTGGGAGCCATGGAGAGTTGTGAATGGAAGAGGGACACAGTCTGTATTAGGGTTTTATTTATTTATTTATTTATTGGTCGCACCACTCGGCATGTGGGATCTTAGTTCCCCAACCAGGGATAGAAACCAAGTCCCCTGCAGTGGAAGCGCAGAATCTTAACCACGGGACTGCCAGGGAAACCCCTATATTAGGGTTTTAAATGTTTACCAAAAAGCTGCTCAGAGAGGGAGCAGTCGGAAATGTGCGTGATGAGAATAGTGAGGCACAGATAAGTAGAGCCCTTGTCCAGGGTCAGAGATCTGGTAATAGGCAGCTCTGAAGACTGAAACACAGAAGTTAGTAAATTAATCCGAAGTCACCTGGTTCCAGGGCTGGGTGGGGATACGGGGGAGTCCTGTGCACATGGAACCCAGCCATGGTTCCTTCCTCTTCCCACATATTCTGGAGGTTAAAAAAGAACTTAGGGAATTTACACAAGGAAAGAGAGTATGTCCCAGGTCCTCACTAGTCCTGACATCAGCGGTATAGTGTCTGAAATTTGGTGTCTTGAGGTACTTCGCGTGCTGATTTCCTGTCTCTTGCCTGTGGGGACCCTGGCAGTACCCCAATGCAGGCCAATCGGTAACATAGTGGTGTTCCTATTTCTGGCAACCAGTGTAAACATATGGTGTGGGAGTTATCTCAGGAACATATAGCAGCATGAGCAAATGCTCAGTGTGACTGAGTTGGGAACAGGGTACAGTAGGTCTCCATTCTTTCTGTTAAGAACAAAGAGCAGGGAATCAAGAATCAGGCCTGTAATGTGGCTGCCTGAGAATCTGGGCATCTATTATGGAGATAATGGGAGATTTGTATAAGAGAAAGGAGTTGGTCTTATTTAGGTTTAAAAGGCTCCACCTGGCTACACAGTGGAGAAGAGATTATGGGGTTAAGGCAGGTGGCAGGGAATTCAGGAGGAGGTTACTGCTATAATCCAGATGAGTGTTGATGGACCAGAGTTATGACCATGGAGGTGGGAGAAAAGGTTGGATTCCAGGTCCATTTTTAATGAAAGAGCTGAGTAGACTTTGGATGGTGTAGGTGAGGGAGAAAAAGGAGGAGCCAGAGATGATCCTAGAGTTTTTCATCCTATCAGCTGAAAGGATGGAAGCTCCAACAAACTGGGATGGGAAAGTTGGTGGTAGGTTAATTTTCCTTGGGAACATCAGAAGTTTTGTTTTGGTCTTGTTAAGACTCTGAAAAGTTTCAGAGAACAGTTAGTGGAGTGGGCAATTGGACACACAGGTCTGGAAATCTGGAGAAGGCTTTCAGGAGGGAGACTTCCAAAAGTGGTGGATATTATGTAGACCAGGGTGGAGCTGTGGATGTTGTTTAGGAAGGGAATGCAGGTTTTAGTGACAACGTTATTGGAGAGTCAGAAGGACTAGTTTGCATACTAAGGAGTAGTTTTCTTCCTTGACACTATTGGGGTTGCTGGACCTCACAAAAAGAGACTAGGGAGAGGGGTGATAGTGGAAATGGTGTGGGTTGATCTAGCAAGTAGCCAAGGCTTCCATGGGATGAATGGACTGGAGATAGCTGCTCCTATGTCCAGGAGGCATAGGAGTAATTGAGACAAGATGACATTGAGACAGGGCTCCTGCTAATTCAGTACTGTATGAATTCACCAGGATTTGGTGGTGAGCTTTGATGGGTTGTAGGATGTTTCATTCTTGCTAGTGAATAAGGTCTGGGGCGAATATGGGCTTGGGAGAGTCACTGTGCCGGGCATGTGAGACTGGGCTTTTAATGAAGTTTGGGTGGAGAGCAGAAGGTTGTGGTGGCTGAATGGACAGCAAGTGCAGCATGGAAGTGGAAGAGGGTCATGGATATCTGAAATTCACATGTGGCTCTGGGTGGTTAATATTGAAACAAAGATCACAGGCAACATCAATCATCAAAGCAGCATTGAGAATTTACCTGGCTGTGGGATCCATCAGAGGATTGGGGTTGTACTATATCATGTTAGTAATTTTCAAGCACTCTTCTGGATGCTGTTTGCCAAGTACATGGGTGAGTCCAGGGAGATGTCTGTGGTGTGGGGCAGGAAGGTGGCAGAGCTGGGGAAGTGCAACTGTGGGGTCTGAAGATGTGAGAGATGTGTCTACACAATGATGTGCACAAGGGGAGAATTGTGAGCTGACGGTCCACAGGCCCTGGAGTTGGGGCCTTAAGGGTGAAACATGAGCCCAAATTTGTGTCTTGGAGGCACAATCTGGGAGGCCCCAAGGGAATTGCTTGGCAGGCCCAGAGCTTAGATGGCATTTATGTGCTGCTGCCGCCCCCCGCCCCTCCATCTTTTGTTGCTGAGCACAGTAATCAAGGGAACCCTGAGGAGAGCATGGGCATCAGTGGCACCAGGGCCTGGTATCTCCTTTGAGGTGGGGAGCTTTGAAAGAGGATGATCGTGGAGATGTGTGAGGAGTTGGATTGTGGGTTCTCAGAGAATATTCGTAGTTTCATTTGTACTAATCATGACAGGGTGGTGTGACCTTTCAGGACATTGCCATGTACTTCTCCTGGGAGGAATGGGGCCTCCTTGATGAGGCTCAGAGATGCCTGTACCTCGAAGTGATGCTGGAGAACTCTGCACTTGTATCCTCGCTGAAGAGTAAGTCCCTTACTCTTTTTTTTTTTCCCCTTACTCTTCCCAGTGACCTGGACTAGGCTCTTTCTTTCCTCCCTTCCTTTTCTTCAGAGGATGTTGTCTTATTCTCACATGTGGACCATGGGAACTGCTTCCTTGCCTAGCTTTCTGAGTAGTTGCTGTCATAGCCAGGGCTGGGTTGTTTACACTGCTTTCTCCTTTCTTTTGTAGCTTAATATCTGCTGTACTGATCTCTAATAGGTAATGATTTGAGGTATATAATCTTGTAGTGAGCCTAATGAAGTCTACCTTATTAGTGAAGAGCATTTTTCATATAACTGTGAGCTGTTTGTATGTATTCTCTTCACGTCCGTTGCCCATTTTTTAACTCTATTTTTTTGGTTATTAAGTCTTTTGAATACCTTGTATATTTTGGATGGTAACATCTTATCAGATACATGGCTTGCAAATATTTCCTCCCATTCTGTAGATTGCCTTTTTTTGTTGTTGATTGTTACGTTGCTATGCAGAAGTATCTTCATTTGGTGTAGTCCTAGTTGTTTATTTTTGCTTTCATTGCCTGTGCTTTGGTGATATCCAGAAAAATCATCACTAGGACTAATGTCTTTAAGGGATTTTACGTTTTTAGGTCTTACATTTAAGTCTTTAATCTATTTCAAGTTAGTTTTTATAAGTGGTATAAGACAGGGGTCCAGTTTCATTTTTTTTTTACCTGTGGATATCCAGTTTTCCTGACACCATTCAGAATTTACTCTTCCTGCCACCACCACATTTTATGTTTTTGATGTCACAGTTCACATGTTCTTATATTGTGTATCCATTAACAAATTATTGTGGCTATAATCTAATCCTTTTCTTTTAATCCTTTTGTTTTTAACTTTTATACTTGAGTGATTTAAACACCACCAACACAGTATTATAGTAATCTGAATTTTACTACATACTCAGTTTTACCAGTGAGTTTTGTATTTTCCTGTTTTCATGTTTCTATTTATTATCCTTTCATTTCTGCCTGAAGAACTCCCTTTGGCTTTTTTTAATTTTTTTTCAAGTTTCAGATATTTATTAATCACTGTAAACCCCAACACAAAACAACAATGTGATTTCATGCATTTAGAGGGGAAATATTTCCTGGTTAAGTGGAAAATTGTGCACATGGCTTCTGGAAGACCTTCATTCTAAGAAGCATTATAGTGAAACATTTCATTTAGAAATCTGGAACTTCTTTCTTCAGTTTGCTGTAATCGACATTCACTGAGTAGAACTTGTATTGATCATTGGGACCCAGTTTGTTCCAGGGTTCTGGGTTATTCTTTCTTTTTTTCCTCATTGGCCATGCTGAGTGGCTTGTGGGATCTTAGTTCCTAGACCAGGGATTGAACCACAGCCACAGAAGTGAAAATGCCAAGTCCTAACCACTGGATTGCCAGGGAACTCTCTGGGTTATTCTTTCTGTCCCAGCTAACATCTGGATTGAACAATTCCAGGTGCAAGACATACAATGCTGCTCCAGTACCTCCCACTCTAATAAATACAAAGAGGGGGATCAAGCTAGGATGCTTCTTGGCCTGACCAGTGATCTGGTGGAGCATGGTTGCAACAGAGGCCTTGAGTTCAGATGGAGAGAAAGAAAAATGTGCAAGGCCCAGGACTAAGTAGTCTCTTTTCCCTTTGGCATTTCTTAGAAGTCAGGCTGAGTGTCAATGAACTCCCTCAGCTTTTGTTTGTCTAAAGTCTTTCCTTAATTGTGCAGGACAGCTTTGTTAGGTAAAGTATTCTTGTTTGGCAGTTTTTTTCTTCAGTGTTTTGAATACAGTATCTACAGGATATTTGTTCCAGGAGCCCATGTGGATACCAAAATCTGTGGATGCTCAAGTTCCTTATATAAAATGGCATAGTACAGTGAACAGAGTGAACCCTCTATATCTGCAGGTTTAGAACTCACAGATTCAAAGAACCAACTGTATATCATCCCACTCTCTCCTAGGCTGCAAGATTTCTGCTGAAAAATCTACTGATAGCCTTATGAGGGTTCCCTGAGTGAAGGGGTTTCTTTTCTCTTCGTGCTTTCAAAATTCTGTTTGGGTTTTTTTGCTTGTTTACTGACAGTTTTGTTTATAATGTGTCTTGGTAATATCCTCTTTGGAATGAATCTGTACATGGACCTATGAGCATCATGAATTGGGTGTCCACATCTCTTCCCAGACTTGGGAAGTCAGACATTATTTCTTCAAACTTTCTGACACTTTTTCTTTCTATCTCTCCTTCTCCTGGGACTCCAGTAATGCAAATATTGTTTTGCTTGATGGTATTCCATAGTTTACCTATGCTGACTTCACTTTCTTCCCCCCTCTGGCTGGATGATAAATGACCTGTGTTTGAGTTCACATATTCTTTCCACTGCTTGACCAAGTGTGTTGTTGATACTCTGTTGCATTTTTCTTTTCATTTGTTGTATTCTTCAACTTCAGAATTTCTGTTTGATTCTTTTTTATGATTCCTGTCTCTCTGAACTTCTTGTTTTGTTCCTGTATCATTTTCCTTACCATGTTGAGTTATCTATCTGTGTTCTCTTGTAGCTCACTGAGCTTCCTTTTTTTAAAAGTTATTTTATTTATTTTTGGCTGCATTGGGTCTTCGTTTCTGCACATGGGCTTTCTGTAGTTGCAGCAAGTGGGGGCTACTCTTCGTTGCAGTGCGCGGGCTTCTCATTGCAGTGGCTTTCGTTGCAGAGCACGAGCTCTAGGCGTGTAGGCTTCAGTAGTTGTGGCTCATGGGGTCTAGAGCACAGGCACAGTAGTTGTGGTGCACGGGCTTTGTTGCTCTGTGGAGTGTAGGATCTTCTTGGGCCAGGGCTTGAACCCGTGTCCCATGCATTGGCAGGTGGATTCTCAACCACTGCAGCACCAGGGAAGCCCCCTCACTGAGCTTCCTTAAAACATTTATTTTGAATCCTTTGGTGGTTCGTAGATCTCCATTTCTTTGAGGTTGGCTACTGGAAAATTATTATGTCCCTTTGATGGTATCATGTTTCCTTGTTTTTCATGTTTCTTTTATCCTTGTGTCCATGTGTGTATGTGTGGTGAATCAGTCATTTCTTTCAACATTTTGGGGTGAATTTTGGTTAGAGAAATAGCTTCACCTTCATGTGAATGCAAGGGTGCTGGCTGGGTGTGGTATTGTGGTGTTGACTCCAGTGAAGACCCTAGGAATATAGTCTCTGTGCAGATCTGTCAGCTGAGATCAGAGTGGTGAAGACTGTAGGGGTCCTCAGTGACCATGGCAGCAGTAGTATGCAGTGGTGGCAATGGCTTTTGGAGTCTTTGGTGACAAAGACTGCTGGGAATCCACTGATCTCCTTTTCTCCCATTGAAGATGTTATGGCTAAGGGGATTTCCTTTGGAATCCATGCTGATGAACTCTACAGGATCGTCTAATGTGAAAACTGGGGATTCTGCTGCTATCGGAGGGGTTCTTTGTTGTCAGTGACAAAGCCTGCAAGGGTCCTCCACAGAGCAGGCCACTAGGGACCATGATGGCACAAGCCCAGTGGCTGACACAAGTAGCTCTCACGTACTTTGATCCTAACCATCCAGGCATCTCTGCTAAGCCAGTTTTCCCAGCGATCCTTTCTGTGCAGTTACTCTCCTTCTTTTGCTCCACTGTGTTGCTGTTTGTCTTAATTGGACACTCATGCTGTACCCCGCATCCACCCCAGGGCTATTTTTATTCGTTGATAGCTGTCTAATTGTTTTTGGAAGGGGAATGAATGCTAGTATCTCTTATTCTGTCATCTCACTGACATCACTCACATAGATCTCCTTTCTCTGGTCGTTTTTTGTGCTGAGTTGCTCTGGGACAGTGCTGGCTATTCTTTTTTTTTTTTTTTTTTTTTTTTTTTGCTGTACGCGGGCCTCTCACTGTTGTGGCCTCTCCCGTTGCGGAGAACAGGCTCCGGACGCGCAGGCTCAGTGGCCATGGCTCACGGGCCTAGCCGCTCTGCGGCATGTGGGATCTTCCCGGACCGGGGCACAAACCCGTGTCCCCTGCATCAGCAGGCAGACTCTCAACAACTGCACCACCAGGGAAGCCCCCTGGCCATTCTTTTGTGCTGTTTTTCTCTTAGGACTTGCATCATGTGTCCCAGGTACTTGCTCAGCTAGGAGTTGGGGGGAGAATCCTGTGTGCATCACAGGATAGACATGACTCCAGTCATGGAAGAGTGGGCTCAGAGGGAGCCTGGCCTTGGTGAATGGCAGTTGGTGAGGGTGTGACACCAGGGCTGTGTGTAAGACTATACCAGAGATCTGTCCCATTCAACCAGTGTTTTGTTTCCATTGCCTGTGTCCACATCCCATTGCCATTTGTTCTTCCACATTGTTGATACTTTGCCAACTTGTCAGTTCTAGTAGTTATCATTTCCACTCTGGCTTCTTTCCAGCAGTAATCTCCATCTCTCTAAACCCCACATCTCAACCATTTCTTTGACAGGTCTCCCTGTAGTGTTCTCCAACATCAGGCCATACATGCTGTGCTTGGAGGTGTGCATATATCCTTATATTGAGTTTCAACAGTATCTACTCTGTTACAGTTGATTTTCATGGGATGGGTACATTCACATTCTTCTACACAGCCTCATGTCAACCAACAGGAATGGTTCTGTAGGAAGCCAATGACAGAGGAGTAAGTGAAACCCTACCTCTTTTCCTTCTGTTATACACTGTCTTTGTGTCCTTCCCTTGGTGGGGTTTCCACCATTCGGTGACTTTAGGAGCCCAGCAATGCACAGCAGCCATTTCTTCAGAGTTCAACCTGCTTGTCTTCAAAAGTATCCCTGGACCCATGCCTAGATATGACAGATGCACATTTGTGATGGGCTTGCCCCATTCCTATAATGTCAACATATACTTCACCAGTATTTCTTTGGGTTCAGGTTGCTGCTGTGGAGCACAGGATGCAGAGGTACCCTTTTAACAAAGCATTTCTGTAGGAATCTCACAGGCCAGAACTCCCAGTCCAGCTCCATTTTCCCAGAAGACCCACCCCTGTCAGATGTGTGGTCCAGTCTTTTTTTTTTTATTTTAAAAAATATTTATTTATTTACTTATTTATTTATTTTTGGCTGCGTTGTTGTGCACGGTCTGTGCACGGTCTTTCTCTAGCTGAGGTGCATGGGCTTCTGACCGTGGTGGCCTCTCCCGTTGTGGAGCACAGGTTCTAGGCGTCTGGGCTTCAGTAGTTGTGGCTCGTGGGCTCTAGAGTGCAGGCTCAGTAGTTGTGGCACACAGGCCTAGTTGCTCTGTGGCATGTGGGATCCTCCCAGACCAGGGCACGAGCCCATGTCCCCTGCATTAGCAGGTGGATTCTTAACAACTGCGCCACCAAGGAAGCCCTGTAGTCCAGTCTTGAGAGTCATTTTCCAGTTGGCTGAGCAGCAGGGAACACAACACAGCCAGAAACTCGAGGTGTGGGGCATGTGAAAAATGTTTTTATTTCAGGGCAAGCAAACAACACCAGAAGCAGCACGTGGGAGAAAAACCCTTCTTAGGCAGTGTAGACAAGGCTTCACTTGTGAAGAGCTGCAATTTCCAGGAGTCATGGAAGGCTTTTACCTGCAGGGAGCTTGGGAAGGACTTCCTAGTTTTGTCAGGACACCTCCAGCAACAGGCCACTCACTCCCGGGAGAAGCCAAAAAAAATCTCTGAGTGTGGGGTGACTTGTTGAAGAAGAAAAATTCATTATACCCGGGGAGAATGCAAGAAAGCCTTCAACCCCCAAAACACACTTGATCAGGACCAGGGTGTCCACACTGGAAGACAGTGTTTTGTATGCCAGGACTGTGGGAAAGCATTCAGGTTCAAATCCTTGTATGTTGTGCATCAGAAAGTCCACACTATAGAAGGGCTTTACATGTGTGGTGAATGTGGCAAATCTTTTAAGTGGAGCTCGACCCTCAGTCAACATGAAAGAGTTCATACTGGGGCAAGGTAGTACAAGTACAGCAAATGTGGAAAATCCTTTAGCTGCAAATCTTTGCTTGTTTATCCCAAAAAAAGTCACATTGGAGAAAAATGATACATGTGCAGTGAATGTGCACAGTCTTTTAGCTATAGCTCTATCCTTACTCAGCAACAGAGTATTCACCCTGGAAAATGGTCTTATGTGTGCACTGAATGTGGGAAGTCTTTTACTGATAGGTCTGTCCTCCGTTATCATCAGAGAGTTCACACTGGAGAAACGCCTTATGAGTGTAATGAATGCAGGAAGTCTTTTACCTATAGCAAAAACCTCCGTTATCATCGGAGAGTTCACGAAGGAGATAGGCCTTATGAGTTCAGTGCACGTTGGAAATCTTGTACTGCTAGGTCTGGCCTCCATGATCATCAGAGAGTTCACACTGGAGAACGGCCTTATGAGTGCAATGAATGTGGGAAATCTATCACCTTCAGCTCCAGACTTCACTGTCATCAGAAAGTTCACACTGGTGAAACACCTTGTAATAGTAATGAATGTGGGAAATCCTTTAGCAAAAAATCTACTTTCTTTCAACATCAAAGAGTTCACACTGTGTAAAGGCCTTAGCTTTTTAGGAAATGTGCGATTGTCCTGTTGATTATAATGGCACTAAAGGAGCCATCTATCTGAATTCAGTGTTGTACAAATGTTCACAGTTAGGAGATCCCCTGTAAGTTTGAGTTATATGAAAGCATGTGTGGCTTCTTATACTCTCTGATCTGCTCAGGGCTCTTGCCAAATTTAAGTCACTGCCAATTTCTATGGCCAAAGACCTTTTACCTTTACTACCTGGCAGGTCCCCACAGTGTGCATCAGTCACCATCCCAGTGTGCTCAGGGAAGCTGACCACTGGTCTCCCATGTAAAGGTTTGTGGATTCCTGTAGTCTCTCACTGATATTCTCCTTAAGGCCGTTACTGCAGAGGCGGGAACACAAAGGTAGTGAAAATGCAGATCTGTAGTCCTGGGATGTAGCTTTGTGGCCCAGTCTGTATTCCTGTTGACATGGTTGGAAACATCCTTCATTGCTCACCAATGTTGGCTTCCACTGAGGCAAGACTGATTCTCAGAGGGCATAAGGAGAGACATGGTGGTCATTATAGCATTCCCAAATTTATTTTCTTAAAAGGGATGCACAGATTTGTGAAATGTAAAGCCATTTTTTATAGCTTTATTTAAAGGTATAATTTACATTGAATTAAACTTTATACATTTTCTTATATACATAATTTAAAGTATGCTATTTGGTAAGTTTTGATGTAGGTATGAACCTGTGAAACTACCATCATAGTTATAATGGCCATATCCATTGCTGTATATTTACCTCATGTCCTTTTATAATCTCGCCCTGCCCTTCCCTCCCTCCAAATAATCATCAATTTACTTTCACTTAAAATTGATACCTTTGCATTTTGTAGAATTTATATGGTGGGAATCATTAAATATTTACCCCTTTTCCAGGTTTACTTTATGTTGTATAACTACTTTGAGATTCATCAATGACATTATGTGAATACTTCACCTTTTTCTTTCGGTGAGTAATCTTACATTTGGATAAATCGCTATTTGTTTATTCATTCATCTGTTTATGGACATTTGGGTTATTTCCAGATTTTTGACAATTTAAAAATAAACGTGATACAAACATTTGTGTACATTTCTTAAAATGAATATATTTTATCTTTTTTCAATAACTTTGAGTGCAGTGTCAGAGTCATAGGGTAGATGAATGTTTAACTTTTGAAGAAACTAACAAATTTTGATCTAAAATGACTACCTTTTTGCATTCATACCAGCAGTGTATGAGGGTTCCATTTCCTCACATCCTAGTGAATCCTGATTTGTTTAATTATTTTAATTTTAGCCCTCCTTTTAAAATTTATTTTTATTTATTTATTTATTATTATTATAATTATTTTGCGGTACGCGGGCCTCTCACTGTTCTGGCCTCTCCCGTTGTGGAGCACAGGCTCCGGACGCGCAGGCTCAGCGGCCATGATTCACGGGCCCAGCCGCTCCGCGGCATGTGGGATCCTCCCGGACCAGGGCACGAACCTGCATCCCCTGCATCGGCAGACAGACTCTCAACCACTGCGCCACCAGGGAAGCCCAGCCCTCCTTTTTAAAAAAATATTTATTTATTTATTTTGTTGTGCCAGGTCTTAGTTGTGCCAGGTAGGCTTCTTAGTTGTGGCATGTGAACTCTTAGTTGTGGCATGCATGTGGGATCTAGTTCCCTGACTAGGGATCGAACCCGGGCCCCCTGCATTGGGAGTGCAGAGTCTTATCCACTCTGTCACCAGGGAAGTCCCCAATTTTAGCCCTTTTAATAAGTTTGTCATGCTATCTCAGTGTTGGTTTAATTGGATTTCCTTAAGGATTCATGATGAGCATTTTTTCGGATGTGTATATGCTATCTGCATGTCTTTGGTAAAGTGTATGCTCATATCATTTAGGCTATTTTCCTTTATGAGTTAGGGATATTTCCTTTTAACAAATAGGACAGTGAAATAAGAAAGATATATTGGAATTTTACCCATTTTACTCCTTGAATAACATAAGTGATTCTTTTGCTTTATGGAATAATTATTTTCAATTCCGGAAAAATATTTTTTAATTTTTGCAAATTTGGGGACTTCCCTGGTGGTCCAGTGGTTAAGAATCTGCCTTCCAATGCAGGGGACATGGGTTCGATCCCTGGTTGGGGAACTAAGATCCCACATGCAGTGGGGCAATTAAGCCTGCGTGCTCTAGAGCTTGCGCACCACAACTAGAGAGAAGCCCACGCACTGCAATGAAAGATCCTGCATGCCGTAAATAAAATCCCACGTGCCACAACTAAGACCCGACGCAGCCAAATAAATTATTAATTTTTGCAAATTTGTATGCTATACACAATGTAATGTTCATATTTATCATACACAATTAATTTGCATTATAGATTTATCTGCATTATTAACACACTTCATCACTTTCCTAAGTTAGACATTTAATAATATAATAAAGCCCTGCTTTGTAGTTTTCACCCGTTTTCCTGGTCTATCTTGGGGATTGGTGGGTTGGAGCAGGACTTTAAGGCGGACCAGGTGTGGGACTTCCCTGGTGGCACAGTGGTTAAGAATCCGCCTGCCAATGCAGGGGACATAGGTTCAAGCCCTGGTCCGGGAAGATCTCATATGCCCCGGAGCAACTAAGCCCGCATGCCACAACTACTGAGCCTGCACTCTAGAGCCCGTGCTCTGCAACAAGAGAAGCCACTGCAATGAGAAGCCTGCGCCCACAACGAAGAGTAGCCCCTGCCTGCTGCAATTAGAGAAAGCCTGTGGGAAGAAAAAAAAACCCAATCCAAAAAAAAAAAAAAAAAAAAAAAGGTGGACCAGGTGGTATTAAGATAGACATTCTGAAGCCCTTCTGGAAGCCAAAGAATAGGTCAGTGATCAGACTCCCCAAACGTGGGCCATACAATGTGGGTTTAAATCTCGTCACCAGCCATCACTGGGACAACAGGCAAAGCAATCCACTATCTGGTTTGTCTCCTGTGTAAAATGGGGATAAAGAGCAGCCCTGTGCCCAGGCCTTTGGAGGAGCTGAGGTGCCCGTTCTGTGTGCAGTGGCTACACCACCAGCCATACCTGCATGTGATATCCCCAAGCCATATACCTCTGGGCCCTTCTGTCCCCAGGTGCTTCTGAGAAACAAATGGGGCTTCCTAGAACCCTCTGGTCCACTGGAAGACGTGTCTTCAGGTTACTGAGGTCTCATTGTGGAATCCCAGGGAATCTGTGGGCCACTCTAGAGTTCCCCAAGATTTACTTCACTGACTGTGACAGGGAGGTGATGAAGGTGTTCACCGTAGCCTCTGTGACGGTAAGTCAAAGCAACAAAATACAGCCTGTACTGGTACCAGAATTCCAGGATTTGCATTTTGAGAATTTCTTTTTAATTTTCACAGCACTCTGGGTATTGGGAGCTATTACTGTATTGCTGGGGAAATCCAGGATCACAAAGATGAAGTGGGTCCCCCAAGGTCACACTACAGACAAGTATCAGATTCAAGAGGCTGGATTCAAGCCTGGGAGTCTAGCTGCCGAACTGGGGACAGTCCCTTTATCATGGCACTTGAAGCCTTCAGCCCGGGGCAGGTGCACAGTGAGGTTCATGGAGACTCAGCTGCTGCTGCTGTTATTGTTGGATTTATTTTCGTGATCGTTTCCCCATTCCTTGGATGTCCCAGAGCAGTTAATGTCTACTGTGGAAAACAGAATGGAGGTTTCTCAAAAAACTGAAAATAGAACTGCCATGTGATCCAGCAATTCCATTCCTGGGTATATATCCAAAGAAAACAAGAATAATAATTTGAAAAGGTACATGCACCCAATGTTCATAGCAGCATTATTTATAATAGCCAAGATATGGAAGCCACCTAAGTGCCCATCAACAGATGAATGGATAAAAAAGATGTGGTACACACACACACACATGCATGCAGTGGAATACCACTCTGCCATAAAAAATGATATTCTGCCATTTACAGCAACATGGATGGACCTGGAGGGTATTATGCTCAGTGAAAAAGAGAGACAAATACTGTTTGATATCACTTATATGTGGAATCCAACAAAGACAGCAAACTAGTGAATATAACAAAACAGAAACAGACTCACAGATACAGAGAACAAAGTAGTGGTTTCCAGTGGGGAGAGGGAAGAGGGGAAGGGCAAGATAGGGGTAGGGGACTTAGAGGTACAAACTGCTATGTAGAAAATAAATAAACAACAAGGATATATTGTACATCACAGGGAATTACAGCCATTATTTTGTAATAACTTTAAATGAAGTATAATCTATAAAAATTTTGAATCACTATGTTGTACACCTGAAACTAACATAATATTATAAATCAACTATATGCCAATAAAAATAAATGTTTAAATCAGGGAAAAATATTGAGCTCAGCTTAACTCATCTCTTCTCAGACTTTAGTATCTCCTAATAAAAATTATTGAGATCTTAACTTTTTTCACCCTTCTCAGATGCTTCCCCAGACTTATCTCTGCCACTATCTTTGACTAACTACATAATCATTATAAATAGTTCCTTATAATTCGCATTTCACAACTTTTTTTTTTTCGATATCATTTATTCCTCATTCACAACAGCCCCAACAATCACTGGAGAAATGATAACCCCTTCCCAGCAAGGAGATGAGATGATGGGGTTCAGATGCCCCTTTTGCACATGCCCTCTGCCTGAGAACACTATCACTCATTGAGCAGGCACTACACTGTACCAAAACAATTTCATAAATTGCTCTCCATTTGAGATAGATGTCAGATTCCTAAAGGAACGGAATATATCTTTGGTCATTGAGTAAGAAATATTAAGTGGCTAGACAGTTCTGCTTTATGGTTTAGACACAATCAGTGAGGATACAGGCATGACAGATGTTCTCTGGGAAACAGAGGCAGAGACAACTTCTTGTCCTATTTCAGGGAGGCCTAAACATCGTTACTCATCTTCCGAGTCATGGCCCTAACTAAACATACAGAGTTAAAAAACAACCAACACTTCTAACTGTATGTATTTGAATAGCAATAAAACGTTTATTACATTCCAGCTAAGAGCGGATGCATTTTGAGTCTGAATGAGAATATGTCCGCTCGCATTTGTAGCCTTTGGAAATAATTGGAATAATCTTTTTAGCCACAGGGGGCCATTTTGAGCTTACAGAGACCGGAATAATGTTTCTAAACAAATGATCCGTGGCAGACAACACTCCCCGGAAACCTGCGAACCGCCCCTTTAAAAAGGGATAATCACATTCCTTTCTCCCCAAGGTAGTCATTTCCCAGCGCCACTCTCAGTGCCCAAGAACCTTTCTTTTTTTAATTTAAGTATGGCTGATTTACAATGTTATATTGGTTTCACGTATACAACATAGTGATTTAATTTTTTTTTTTTTGGCCCCGTCAAGCGATATGTGGGATCTTACCCTGCAGTGGAAGCGCGGAGTCTTAACTACTGGACCGCCAGGGGTCTCGTGATTCAGTATTTTTATAGCGTGTACTTCATTTAAAGTTATTACAAAATAATGATTATACTTCTCCGTGCTGCGCAGAACGTTTCTTGGCCAAGGTAGACTCCGGGAATCTCCTCCTGCGCAGCTGTGGAAACTACACTACCCAGAGGGCAATGCGCCCAATGGTGGCGGAGTTGAGCCAATGAAAGCCCAGGGCAGAGGTACTTCCGTGCGTGGGCTTCGCTTCGGGGCGGGATTTCTGGCATCTTCCTTGTGGCGGTCATTTTGGCCTTTCTCAGGTCGGGTCGCCCAATCAGAGGCTCGGGGCCAGGGGTCCTAAAAGAGAAGGCGTCAGAGGCCTCCACAGAGGTGGATCCAAGGCTTGGCGGTCGCGCACCTCGGGGTGACCCGTAACAGGCTGAGATCAGGACCTCCACGCCTCACAGACTCCGCTTCGTCCACAGACTCCGATGGCGGCGGCGGCGCTGAGGGACCCGCCTCAGGTAAACGTTCGTCTTCCGGGCTCTCACCGCCCTCACCCCCCCCAGACACTAAAGACCCAAGTGCGGGGCGCCTGCTCACGTGCCTGCAGCTCGGGGCGCGGTGTCCGGGACGGTGAGCCGGTCGTGGGTAGGTCTTTTTCTGACAGTGTGATGGCGCGTGGGAGAGGGTGGCAGGCGGAGGGACCCGCAAGTGCAAAGGCTGGGAGGTCGGACTGAGGCGGGAGGATTCAGGAAACCTGGAGTCCGTCTCATGTCTGCAGGACACAAAGACTGTGAGGCGAATTTGTGCCTGAGGAGATTTACTTTCATTCTGAAGGGTGTGAGCAAAAGAGGGACACTGAGATAGGATTCTAAAAGTTTTCCTAAGGCTGCTCAGAGGAAGAAGAGAGATAATAGATACGGGAAAGGTCGAATCCTGTAAAAGATTACACAGCTGGCAAGAATCTGCTCTCAGGACTGAGGCCCGGAGGTAATTCAGACATCTCGAGGTCACCTGGCTCCTGGGCTGGCCAAGGGTACTTAGCGGTCTGAGCCCAAGGATGCTGGCCGTGGTGGTCAAACTCTCAAACAACCTCTCTTCTTCCACAGATTCCTGTAACTACGGAATCGCTTAGTGATACTGGTTTGTGGAGTTTATTTCAGGGTCTCGTTAGTCCTCACCCCACCCTTGTGGTCTCTGGGGTAATAGCGTCCTGGTACTGTTCTGCCACTCTTCCAGGCCTTGGGTCTGGGGGCCTTGAACAAACACCAGGCCTAGAGTTATGTAGGATGGTTCCTATTTTTGACAACGAGTGGAATCAGATGAGGAAAGTACCAGATCTGGCATAGGTACCAGAATGTGCAAAGGCCTGGAGGGGAGGTGAGAGAGGGTTCAGGGACGTGCAGGTATCTTTTCTTTCTCATGGTAGCTGAGAGCAGTGGAACAGGAGGTAGGTCTGGAACAGCTATTTTTTTTTGGCTGCGTTGGGTCTTCATTGCTGCGTGTGGACTTTCTCTAGTTGCAGTGAGCGGGGGTTACTCTTGTGGTGCGTGAGCTTCTCATTGCAGTTGCTTCTCTTGTGGTGCATGGGCTCTAGGTGAGCTGTGCTCTGTGGCTCAGTAGTTGTGGCACACAGGCTTAGTTGCTCCATGGCATGTGGGATCTTCCCAGACCAGGGATTGAACCCATGTCCCCTGCATTAGCAGGCGGATTCTTAACCACTGCACCACCAGGGAATTCCCTGGAACAGCTTTGTGAGAAATTGGGTGTCTCTTCTGGAGGTGATAGGAGCAATGAAAAATTTGGAGCAGTGGAGACAGGTGATCTGACCCAGGTCTCAACAGGCTCCCTGTGGCTGCAGCATGGAGAACATATTGGCATAAAGGAGGTGATAGGAAGACCAGGGAGAAGGATACTCCTATAGTCTGGGTGAGTGTGCTGGTAGCTGGACCAGGGTGGTGGCCATGGAGGTGGGAGATGTGGCTGGATTCTGGATTGGTGTTTTAGGTATGGCAAGCTGGATTTCCTAATTTTGAGGTTGAAAGAAGGAGTCAGGGATGAAGTGAAAGTATGGATTTTGCATGTGGAAGGATGGAAGCTCTACCAACTGATATGAGAAAGTCCATAGTAAGAGTAATTTTCACTGGGGATATCAGAAGTTTTATTCTTGACCTCTTAAGGATATGAGGTGTTTCAGAGTGCAGTTTGTGGGCATCCTCCCCTGAGGAGGAGTTTGGGATGGAGGCTTATCCAAAAGGTAGTAGACAGTGTGGACCAGGGAGGAGCTGTAGATCATTTTAGTATAGGGAGTCCTGGTCAGGAGGATAATGGTAATAATAGCCTAGGAAGAAGAGAATGGGTCTGCGGACTGGGCTTCCTGTTTGGACCCCTGGTTGTGGGAGGTAGGTGTCACAACATGGGTGAAGGAGTTAGTCACAGAGAGGGTTATAAGGGTAAATGGTTTGGCATGCAACCAAGGCTTCTGAAGGATCAGTGGACATGAGATGGATGCAGAGGCATCATCAGGAGTAATTCAGACAAGCTGGTGTTTATTCACTGCTCTACCAACTCACTAGGGTTTTGTTGTAACCCTTGGTGGGACCTGGGGTGTTCTAGTCAGGCTGGCAGATTAGCTTGGGGACACAAGCGGTCATCTGGGAAACTCACAGATGATGTAGAGGGCCAGGCGCTGAGCCTTGAATGAGGGTTAGGTGGAGAAAGGAAAGCTATGACTGGTGAGGGTTCATCAAGTGCAGCACAAGTGGAGTAGGGCCATGAGTATCTGAGATCTGATGTGGTTCTTAGTGGGTAAGGTTGAAGCAAGGGACAGTCAAGGAAGGAGGCCTTCATAGCAGGATTCAAGACTGCCTTTGTCAGTGGGGACCATCACCATCTAGGGTCGTACTTGATCATGTTTGAATTTGCCAAGCATTCTGCGGATCACATATACTGAGTAATGAATAGAGAGGCTGAGGAGATGATTTTGGTGTAGGGCAGGAGGGAGGCTGTGGCTGTGGGAGTGAAGTTGTGAGACAGTTGTGATGGAAAGAGTGATGTGCACATGGAGAGGGAGTGTGAACTCATGGTTCCAGGGCCCTGGTGTTGGCATAAGTGTCAAGGGTGAGCCCAAGTTTGGTGGTGTCTGGGAGAAATGATCTGGGGAGCCCCAGGGGAATTGCCTGAGAAGAGTGGGGTGTTGTGGCTTTATGTTCTAGGTCCAGAGCTTAGATGACATCTGTCTACCCACCTGCCTGTTGTTGAAGGCTGATACAGTGATCAATAGGACCATGATGAGACAATGGGTATCAGTGCCACCTGAGCTTGGAAATCTTCATGAGGTGGGGAAGGGAGAGGGGTAAGCAACTGATAGATTGGGGAGGTGGTGAAATTAGGATCCTAAGGGTAAAGCTGGTCATGAAATGAACTATCCCCATCATGGCAAGGCTGTGTGACCTTTGAAGTTGTCCCTGCGGGAATGCAGCTGTGAGAGCGAAGTGTGGTTCAAAGAAAGATGTGCATGTGAAGAGGTAGTGTGAACTAATGGCCCTAGAACCCTGTTGTTGGGGTCATAAGGGTGAAGGAAAGACCAGTGTCCGATCACTCACACCCTCCCTGTGGCCAGTGTCTCTCCCTAACCTATGTTTGTGACACCCACCTTATTGACAAGAGGCAATGTGGCCTACCTGCAAGACCCAGAGGTCAGATGTCACCTATCTGCTCATCTGCCTATTGATGTGGGAAGACACAGAATCAGTGGGAATATAAGGAGAGAGTGATTCTAATGGCACCAAGGTCTGGTATCTCCTCTGAGGTGGGGAGTAGAGTGAGCAGAGGATAGATTGGGGCTGGGGGTGGGAGGAGTGGGGAACGTGGCATGATGATCTTGGAATCATAGGAGAGAAGCTGATGGTGGAATGAACTGTCTCCATTATGACAGGGTATGAAATTTGAGGATGTGGCCATTGACTTCTCCCAGGAGGAGTGGGGGCTCCTTGATGAGGCTCAGAGACTCCTGTACTACAATGTGATGCTGGAAAACTTTGCACTTGTAGCATCCCTGGGTAAGACCTTCACACTCTTTCCAGTGTTCTGAGATGATGTCCTGTTTTTCCTTTTTTCCCTGGAGTTAACATTGTCTTTTCCACAGCTGGATCATGGGCTCTGCTAATTTCCTCTACTTTCTTGTCAGATGTGCTGTGGATGCCAGCACTGAGCTGTGTGTCATGCCCTGAGTAATGGACTCCCCAAGCATCCGTAACACCTGTTGCCTCCAAAAGTGCAGAGATGGGTCTGGGAGTCAGGAATCTTGTAGTTGGCTTAATGAATCCCAACTTGCTTGTCCTCTCCCTGGTGGAGTGACTATGTCCAGATCCATGGCCTCCAGTTCTTCCCCCTTCTTCTAGCTAAAGTTCTTTGTGACTGCCTGTGCCAGATCATGGTCATTACTTACATGATCCATGGGCTGTTTTTGTAAGACTCTCCTTTAGTTGTTTTTTGTAATGTTTTCTTTTTCTTCTCCAGGAATATCTCATTTTATTAGAGACTTTTTTTAAAAAATGAACTATAGTTGATTTACAATGTTGTGTTAGTTTCTGGTGTACAGCAAAGTGATTCAATTATATGTAATGTTTTCTTTACTGAATACTGTCATATGGCAAGTTGCTCTAGGCCAGTGCTGGCCACTCCCCTATGTTGTTTTTCATAAGACTTGCGTTATTCAGGTTCTGAGTAGTTGTACAATGGAGGGTGCAGAGAGAACCCTGGTTGTTTCACAGAGTAGACATGGTAAGATGGTCTCAGAGGAGAGCCTGCCTGGGCCTGGTGAGTGACAGCTGGGAGAGGATATGACATCATGGCTGTTTTCATATCAAACCAGGAGCCTGCCCAGTGACCAGTAGTGCCACTGACTTCACCTCATTTCTACCTTTTCCCCATACTTGACACTTTGCTGACTTGTTAGTTCATCTGTGACTTCCAGCTCCTGACTGCCTTCACCTTTGTGGCTTCCATGGGTCACCTGTTCCTCTGTACTGCTCTCTCTGCAGTGTTCTCCCCCACTGACCTGCACATGTATCATGAGGTGTGCACATATCCTTAAATATTCCTTGAATGCCAGCTACTTGATTCCATTTGGATTTTACTGGGGCAGGACACAACCAGCCTGCCCCACATCTGAAGGTTGTTGGGAGAGGAATGAGTTGGAAGCCTTGCCTCTGCTCTGTGTGGTGCAACCCATCCTTGTGTCCTTTGTCTGGTGCGGTCTCCCCTATTTGTGATCTTCAGAGGCCTGCCCACTGCTGCCAAGCAACCACTTCCTCAGCTTGCCCCCAGCTTCCTTGTTTTTAGAACAAACCCATGGCTCATTCTTTGTTGTGTCTGACACACCTTTGTAATGCGGCTTCACTTTCCCACCAAAGTAAACATGCATTTCCTCAGCGTTTCTCTGCTTTCAGGTTGTTGCCATGGAACAGAAGATGAGGAGGCCCCTTCTGAGCAGAGTATATCTGTAGAAGGAGAGTCACAGGTTAGGGCTTCTAAGGCAGGTCCATCCACCCAGAAGACCCACCCCTGTGAGATGTGTGTCCCCATCTTAAAAGATATTTTGCAGCAAGCTGAGCACCAAAGAGTATACCCTTTGCAGAAACCAGACTTGGGTGGCACATATGTGAGATGCTTCTGTTTCATTGCAAACCTTCGCCAGCAACAGAAGCATGACAGTGGAGAGAAGCCCTGGAAGAGAGATGTGGACAGGGCCTCGCTTGTGAGGAGCTGCAACTTCTTTGTGCCAGGGAAGCCTTTCACCTGTGGGGAGGTTGGGGAGGACTTCCCAGCCACTTTGGGCCTTCTCCAGCACCAGGCCACACCCAACAGTGAGGAACTACAGAGTGGCAGCAAGAGTGGACAGGCCTTTCACAGTGAAAAAAGTCATTGCAAGTGGGGTGAATGTGAAAAAGTTGCCAGCCACAGCCACACACTTGTTCAAGATAAAAGTGTCCACTCTAAAGAAGGGCTTTATGAGTGTAACAAATGTAGGAAAGCCTTCAACTGCAACTACAGACTTGTTCAGCACCAGCAAATTCACACTGGACAAAGGCCATATGAGTGTGGTGAATGTGGGAAATTCTTTAGCCATATCTCTGGCCTTGTTAAACACCAGAGAATTCACAGTGGCACAAAGCCTTATGGATGCAGAGAACGTGAAAAATTATTTACCCACAACTTTAGTCTTAGAAAACACCAGAAAATTCACACTGGAGAAAGGACTTATGAATGCAGTGAATGTGGAAAAGTCTTCAGTCACAAATCCAAACTCATTCACCACCAGAGACAACACACTGGAGGAATGCATTTTGAGTGTGGTGAGTGTGGGAAATTCTTTAGCTACAAATCCAACCTCATTGAACACCAGAGAGTTCACACTAAAGAAAGACCTTATGAGTGCAGTGAATGTGGGAAGTCCTTTAGACAAAGTTCTAGCCTTTTCCGACACCAGAGAGTTCACACTGGAGAAAGGCCTTATGAGTGCAGTGAATGTGGGAAAGCCTTTAGACAAATATTTAATCTCATTCGACATGGTAGAGTTCACACTGGAGAAATGCCTTATGAGTGTAGCGAATGTGGGAAATCTTTTAGCTGCAAGTCTGAACTCGTTCAACACCAGAGAATTCACAGTGGAGAAAGGCCTTATGTGTGCAGTGAATGTGGGAAGTCCTTTAGACAGTTCTCTAACCTCATTCGACACCGGAGTGTTCATACTGGAGAAAGACCATATGAGTGCAGTGTTTGTGGAAAATCCTTTAGTCGCAAATTTATCCTCATTCAACATCAGAGAGTTCACACTGGAGAAAGACCTTACAAGTGCACTGAATGTGGAAAATCTTTTACCCGCAAATCTGACCTCATTCAACACCAGAGAATTCATACTGGCACAAGACCTTATGAGTGCAGTGAATGTGGGAAATCCTTTAGACAACGCTCTGGGCTTATTCAACACCAGAGAATTCATTCTGGAGAAAAGCCTTATGAATGTGGGGAATGTGGGAAATCCTTTAGCCAAAGTGCTAGCCTCATTCAACATCAGAGAGTTCACACTGGGGAAAAACCATATGAGTGTAATGAGTGTGGGAAATCCTTTAGCCAAAGTTCTAGCCTCATTCAACACCAGAGAAGGCACACTGGTGAGAGGCCTTATGAGTGCAGTGAATGTGGGAAACTCTTTACCCACAAATCTGACCTCATTCAACACCAGAGAGTTCACACGGGAGAAAGACCTTATGAATGTAGTGAATGTGCGAAATCCTTTAGCCGCAAACCTAACCTCCTCAGACACTGGAGAGTTCATGCTGGAGAAAAGCCTTAAATGTGCAGGGAATGTTTTATTTCCTCACTCAGTATAGCAATACTGGAGGAGACTGTGTGAGAGCCATTTAACTGAATTTAAACCTCATTTATTCAAACATCCACCATGCAAGATTGCTCATAAGTTTCAGTTACATCTAAGGCTTTAAGGAGATGCATTATACCTTGTAACCTGCCCAGAGCTGCTGTTAGATTTATGTCACTGCCACTTTCTGTGGCTGAAGCCATTTCACCCCTGTACATAAGGCACCACTCCAACAGGCTCAGGAAAGCTGAACTCTGTTCTCCCATCTGCGTGAGGAAATTATGAATAGCCCAAACCCTTAGCAGGATCCTCATTTCTTTCTCTCTGATGTTAGGGAATGGACCTTACCCAGGTTGGGTCCAAAGGACCTATCCTCAGCTTGCTAAGAAGGACTACCTTTTTCAGGGACATCATTGTTCTCACATCATACTTGTGATGAATTTTTCCAGGTTCTAATTTACCAACGTGGAAACTGCTTGCTGCATGTTGCTCTGGTTTGTGATCTTTTGTAAAGGCCTCCTCTTGCATTTTTAATTTTGGTGGTTCTTTTCTCTCTTCCATGGGGGTTTGGAAGCAGAATTGTGATCTGTTAGCATGTAGAGGTGAACAGATTAATTTGCATTGCTTCCCAAGGCCTTGAAAGGAAGACTGCAGGTCTCTGTGGTCCTAATTGGTGGACTGGTGCCAGGATTTTCGGAGAGGTCAGAAGCCACCCTGAAGAGGAGGCCTTTGTTGTGAGAACCCCCAGTGCTTCTGTGACCAACATGAATTTTATTCCCTTGTTCACATAATTCCCAGCACCATTGAGGGGACCTCGTCCCCAGGTCCTATAAAGGAGCCATGTGCCACGATATACAAATTTTCAATGACATTTTCAGTGTCATTTATTGTTAGACTACAAGGGTCAGGTAGAACCATAATTTGTGTTACTGAACCAAACTCAGGTCCACTTGCCCATGTGCAGCACAGCCAATCTACTGACGCAAGGTTGTGATGAAGTGAAGTACAGCATTTACTGTAGGGCATCAAGCAAGAAGAATGGGCAGCTAATGTTCAAAAGACCTGAACTCCCCAGTGGTTTTCAAGGAAGGGTTTTTTTTTTTTTGCGGTATGCGGGCCTCTCACTGTTGTGGCCTCTCCCGTTGCGGAGCACAGGCTCCGGATGCGCAGGCTCAGCAGCCATGGCTCACAGGCCTAGCCGCTCCGCGACATGTGGGATCTTCCCGGACCAGGGCACGAACCCGTGTCCCCTGCATCGGCAGGCGGACTCTCAACCACTGCGCCACCAGGGAAGCCCACAAGGAAGGGTTTTTAAAGGCAACATTTGGTTTGAGTGTTGCAGCTCATGGACTTTCTTCTGATTTCTTAGTATTGAGGTAACAGGGTGATGTTTTAGTTATCTTATCTTATCTTATCTGGGGTCTATGTGCTTGTGGACAGCATGTAGTCGCCATCTTCCACCTGGGTGGGGGTCTTGGTTTCTGCTGAACAGCACAAAGATGTGTCAGATTGTTGTTATATGTATCACTTGAGGAGGAATAAGGACTCTGGTTTATTGCTGAACTATTGTTTAAGCTGTCATTACTTTTCTTCCTTGACTGCTTTTCCTTTGTTTCTGTATTCCCTCACTTCCCTAATTAGGAACTGCTTGAGTCTGCTTTTTGGAACTCAGGGAAGACCTTGGAGACTAAAACCTCTTTCTACTAACAAACAAGGGTTACATGGAGGGGCTTTTGTACCCAGGAGGGCCTGCAGGGTCCTGCTTTTATTTGATACCCCTCAATCCTGAGGGGAACAGGGTCAGGACAAGAAAAGGAATACAGTTTTGTGTAGAGATGTTAATCATAAATTTACCAGGGGGACTTGGTTTTTTTGGGGGGGTTGGTTTTGTTGGTGCAGAAACACTGGATTAATAGGGAGTTGAGGAGACTGCAGTAAATTAGATGGAATGTACCTCTTCTAAAAGTTCATCCACAAATGCTCCAGTGACTATTCCTGTGTGATCAGTGTGTACAGAAATTCTCAGGATCTCCATAACTGTATTTCCTGTAGCTGCAGTTTGTGGATTCCTATAGCCTTTCTGGGCTGTTCCCTCAAAGGCATTGCTCTACTGGTGGGAAAACAAGGATAGAGAAAACGGCAGTCCTGTAGTCCAAGGATGTGTCTTTTGTGACCCAGCGAGCAGTTCTGTTGATTCAAGTGGCAGCAGCCTTCATTGCTTGCCAGTATTGGCTGCCACTGAGGCAAGGCTGCACTTCCCAGGGCATAAGGAGAGAGATGGTAGAGACCATATAGGGTTGCCAACCTAATTTTCCCAGAGAAGTGGGATATCTACGCTTTTATTTGGAACCACATTTTAAGGCTTTCCTAAGATTTAGCAAAGGTTAAGGTAACCCTTGAACAACATGGGTTTGTATAGTTGATGTGCAACAAAGTGCACTTACCTAATGGGTACAATTTGATAAGCTTTGACATACATATAAAGCTGTGAAACCATCACAATCATGAAAGTAAATTTATCTATCACATATTTACCTCATGCCCTTTTGGAATCTCATTCCCTACTCTCCTCAGCCCTACAGACAATCATTGATTCATTGATTCACTTTCCTTTACAATAGGTTAGTATGTATTTTCTATGATTTTAAATAGGTATCATAAGATGTATACTCTTTTTTAAAACTGATTTACTTCATGCTGCACAATTATTTTTAAATTCAACAATGATGCTTATATTAGTAGTTAATTCTTTTCATTGCTGAGTAGTCTTCTGTTCTATGGATAACGTCTTTGTTTATCCATTCATCTGTTTATGGACATTGGATTATTTCCAGGTTTGGGGTATTATAAATAAAGCTGCTTAAAATATTTGCATTCAGTTATTTATATGGATATATGTTTTATTTCCCATGTGTTAATAACTCAGACTGTTGCAGTGTAGGTAGATGTTTAACATTTTAAGATATGCCAAACAGTGATCTAAAGTCGTTCCCTTTTATCTTCCCATCAACAGTGTATGAGAATTGCAGTTCCTCTACAAGGTAGCCAACGCTTGATACGGTCAATGTTTTAAAATTTTAGCCCTTGAAATAAGTGTGTAGTTTGAACTCTCTTTGGTTTTAATTCCATTTTCCTAAGAATTCATGATGCTGAGCATTTTTTCATGCATTTGTTTGCCCTCCGTTTATCTTCTTTGGTAAAAAGACTACTTATAACTTTTGAGTACTTTCTTTTTATGTAATTTATTTATTATTTTAACAAGTAAGACTTATGTTGGAATTTCACTTATTCTTCAGTGATGTGACCTCTTTGCCTTATGGGACAATCATTTTTGAATACTGGAAGGAAATTATATTTCCTCAATTTTTTGCCCTTTGCACAACTGAAAGCCCACGTGCACCATATTTTTTTTGTTTAATCTGCACTATTAACATATTCTCCACTACATTCTTAAGACTCAGTATTCAATAATACATTAAATCACACCTAGGTTTGTAGTCTTTGTGCTGATTTCCCTGGTGTAAATACCCCTGTTATGGTCAATTTCTTTTCTTATTTTTTCTTCCTTGTCATGGTCAATTTCAAACTGCCAAAATGGTGTCACTGAACATGAAGTTGGTAAGATATTGCAGTAGCACACTATTTTTTTAATTTTTAAAAATTTTTAAATTTTATTTTTTTGGCCATTTTGGGTCTTCATTGCTGTGCGCAGGCTTTCTGTAGTTGCAGTGAGTGGGGACTACTCTTCGTTGCAGTGTGCGGGCTTCTCATTGAGGTGGCTTCTTTTTGTGGAGCATGGGCTCTAGGCACATGGGCTTCAGTAGTTGTGACATGGGAGCTCAATAGTTGTGGCTCGTGGGCTCTAGAGTGCAGGCTCAGTAGTTGTGTCGCATGGGCTTAGTTGTTCTGTGGCGTGTGGGATCTTCCCGGACCAGGGCTCGAACCCGTGTCCCCTACATTGGCAGGTGGATTCTTAACCACTGTGCCACCAGGGAAGCCCCAGTAGCACACTACTAATTATATTTCCAACATACTGATACAGTAGCCACAAATAACCTCAAAAACAGACAATAACAAAAGAGTCAAATGATTAGGAAGTGGCAAGTTTTAAATATTTTTTTGTTTGTTTTTGTTTTTGCGGTATGCAGGCCTCTCACTGTTGTGGCCTCTCCGTTGTGGAGCACAGGCTCCAGACGCACAGGCTCAGTGGCCATGGCTCACAGGCCCAGGAACTCCGCGGCATGTGGGATCCTCCCAGACCGGGACATGAACCCGTGTCCCCTGCATCGGCAGGTGGACTCTCAACCACTGTGCCACCAGGGAAGCCCAATATTTGCTTTTTAAAAGCAGCTTGATTTAAATACAGTTAACTTTGGGAATTCCCTGGTGATCCAATCGTTACAACTTGGTGCTTTCACTGTCGTAGGCCCAGGTTCAATCCCTAGTCAGGGAACTAAGATCCCACAAGCTGCGTGGTGTGGCCAAAATGTACACACACACACACACACACACACACACATACACATACACACACACGCACGCACGTGATACATATAATTAAACTGTACATATTTAAAATGTACATTTTGATATTTCCATACATGCTTGCATCCCTGAAACCAAGTTTTCTCCTGGCCACTTCAATTTATGTTTCTCAATATATCAAATTATAAGCACATAGTCTACCATTTGTAATGGCTATTTTCAAATGTATCCATAAATGGAAAAGACTGTTATGAAATCCCATGAACCCTCTCCCTATCTTCATCATGGTATATATCATTTCATGGTATTCTTTATCTCCATGTACATTAGTGTGTTATATTACTTAATAATCCCAGATATGTCAATGTATAACCTCTTCAGAATGCATTTCTAAAACGTAAGAACTCATAACTGATCATTTGGCACAGTCTTCATACTTTCAGCTCTTTTAACTGTAATTCAGCCTTTTTTGGCTTCAGTTTGAAGGATAGCAGTTGTTTTTTCATAATTCTTTTCAGGATCATCAAAGGAAGTATGGGCAATCCATCTTGATACAGGCTGCTTAAAATATTCCAAGCGTTCAGGGATATAGCCTTTTGGAATTTCTGCTAACTCAACTTCACCAATGAATACATTCACCAGAGTAATCCCAAATGCTACTGGAATCCCAGTCAACAAAATGTGGGATTTCACTAAATTCACAAAATCCATGTCATACAAATATCTAATCATCCTGTTGTACACCTGAAAGTAATATAATGTATGTCAATTATATCTCAAGTTTCTGGTTCTGTTTAGTATGTTTACCGTTCCCCCATATTTCCCCTTTAGTATACTAGATATTGATGAGGTGGGTGCCTGAGGTCTTTTCCAGATGGACAATTCTGTGATGGTGACAGACCTGGAAATACAGTGTGTCTTTTGCTTCCACACTTTGTGCAGCCCATACGTGCCAGGTATGCAGCAGATGGTGACACTGCATCACAGCCCAGAGATCTGCAGCACACATCTGTGGAACACAGTGAGTTAGGTGTGTGGCACAATTTGAGAGTGCCCCACAAACACTCTAGGGACACAAGTGTAACAGGTATGGAATGCTGATGCCCCTCAGCCTGGAGGCAGACTTGCACATACCACATCCACAATAGAAAAGATGTATGGCAAACATGGACCACACACACTGGCATATGTAAAGCACACCAGGCACCTGTGAGATGCATGGAGGCACTATTACCACCTCAGTCTCCACGGAAATTGGACAGACATGTGATAGGGACGCCCAATGGTCATATGTGGGCCACGCACAATTGCACAGTTCCCATAGACCAAGTGAGATGAGGTCAGCACAGTCTGGCCTGTGGAGGACACGCCTGTCCCCTACGTACACCCCATCACTGCAAGTTTCATTATGGGCTGATGGGAATCCAGATCAGGAGCCTGATGTACATCCCTGCACAACCCAGAGATCAAAATGTGAGCAGTGGTTTGATCTAAGCAGGAGAGCAGATTTTCATGAGTTTTACAGGAGGGAACATTCAGTCGTTTTCAGGAATGGTTGATCAAGTGTGTTCCCTAGGAGGACGACAAGGGCATGTTCTTGGGGATTAGCGTCACAGTCAGTCATTGATTTGCATTTCACCTAGAGGGGTGGGAGGT